CGGAGCATAGGACTGAAAGATGATATTAGTTTTAGTAGTAGATTAGTTTTATTCTGAAACTTGTAACAAAGTAAATGTAATTGACTTTTGGTGATTAAATAATAAAGTATTATTTATAAGTTTGGTTTCTGCCTTTTGTCAATTGTTTATTATTGTGTTTCATTTTTGCATGTTTTACTTCCCGAATAATAAGATTATTCAAACTCCACAGTCACTCATACTTTTGGGTAGTAAGTAGTGAATTAAGACTGTCATGAACTGGATTGTAGATTGTCTAAGGATAGACATGGCAATAGAATTGCTGCAACGTTCATGAGTACTCAGAAATTGAGATTTGAGTATTGGATAAACCCTCGCTCAGAGTATCACTTCATGGAATTCATCACGAGTAATACTGAGACGATAATATCTTATAATCTTGAAACGAAGATATATGAGTTGTAATTTACAAGTCGGTCATGCATTGGTGATACGAAAACGCATCAGTAACTTGGTGTTATAAAACGTATTGTCATGTATAATTTGATGAGTAAAAGATACAAGCATATGAGTCAACGTTTATTCGTTCCTTTTGCCCTAACAGGAAAAGCGATATGTGGGCCCCTCGATGATTTGGTGTTGACTTATGTGCTGGGCCCAGCCAGGACTAAATTGATGTGTTCAATTAGAAGTCCTACATCATCACAAATCAGAATCGGGAAACATAGATTCTGGACAAAGAGATTGATTACATTCCATGTCTTATGTCTAGGGATATCTAGCAGAACGAAGGATTATATGATCACTTATCTTAGGACACGTAACTGACTGGGTCAGAGTTCGGCAGCAGCTTTTGGAAAGCTACAATTTGCTGGTCAAATTTAGAAGGCATACTAGCAATTATAGTTACAGACTTATCCAAGTGGGAGACTGTTGGATTAGGTGTCTAAGCCCATAACTATAATTGGTATGTACTTGAATTGATAGCAGCACAGTCCTTTTGGGTTGCCCTCAACCTAGCAACTGGACAAGGAAATTATGAAAGGAGAGATATTAATTTATAAGATTAATGAATTAATATAAATGATTTATTAATATGTTAAAAGATTAATATATTAATTAGAAATCATTATGTTTAATTAATAGTTAGCCAGAAATTAATCAGAATTAATTTTGGGGTTAAAAGAATTAATTATAAAGTGCAGGGACTAGTTTGCAATTAACTAATAGTTGAGTGGAAGGTTCCAGAACCCCTTGGAAGGAGGTGGACGAAATTCTTAGGGGAAACCCTAGAGATTTCGTCCAAGGGGTCCAAATAAGGCCTTTGGATCTTGCTTAGGCCCTAAGCAAAGGATAACTAGGTTTTCCCTAAACCCTAGATCCCTCAGCTATTTAAGGAGCCTCCTGGCTCACATTTTGAGGTCACTGATTTCTTTGGAAGAAACCCTAAGGCCGAAAATTGCATACTCTCTCCCTCTCCTCTCTCTCCAAGTTTCCTTCTTGCTAGTTCTTGGGTGTGATTCCATTAGAGGCATTACATTTGTGGTGCTAAGCTTCCAAGAAGATCAAGATCAAGATCAAGAGGATTATCAATTGTTTGCTATAACAATTGAAAGGTATGTAACTCCTAAACCCTAGTTTGTTAATTTCGAAATTAGCCTCTCTCCTCTAGGGTTCTTGTTTTGCAATTCAAAGTTATATGTTCAATAGTTAAAACATAGATCCAAAGTAGGTTGCATGTGAACTTAGGAATTGTTTTCTAGTTTATTTGTTTTACCTAAAACCCATCAGAATGTAGGCTGTGCAGGGATGAGTTAAAGGGGGGTTTGGTGCTCATCATGTGTTATATAGGCTCCAACCACTAAATATTAAGGTTTCACCCAAACATTCGTATTGCCCAGGCGTACACAAGTGTACGCCCCAGCGTACTAATGCGGACCTTAATAGGCTTTCTTAGCGTACTTTATGTACGCGCAGCTACTCCTTCTGGCCCAAGTTTGCAACTTGGTCCTTAACTTATCTTGGCTCTTCACTTCCAACCCCAAGGACCATAAATGACAAGGTAATGATAGAATAGGGTTCGGAAATACCTGCAAAAATCTCGGGATGTTACATGGATAATTACCAATTCAAGATAATATTATTATATTGGTTTTGGGCTTATCTAGGGTTTTCAAGTTGCACTATATAAGGACCCATATACCTCCAACTTTCGGCTATGACTTCTATAGAAGGGTTAGGCCTAAATTCTTACCGATTTCCTCTCTCTCTCTTCAAGTTCCTTGGTTGTTAGGGTTTGGGTGTGAACCATTAGAGACACGACACTTGTGGTGCTAGCTTCCAAAATCAAAGAAGAAAGGATTCTTGATTGTTTACTACAACACCATTAGAGACACGACACTTGTGGTGCTAGCTTCCAAAATCAAAGAAGAAAGGATTCTTGATTGTTTACTACAACAATAAAAAAGTATGTAATTTCTATCTTGTTTGTCAATTTCGAAAATACATAGGGTTCATATGTTTCTTGTTGTTCAATAGAATATTACTTCAATAGTGTTATGACATAGATCTAGTAGGTTACATGTACCCTTGAGTGTTAATGATTTATCCGCGTTATTACATGTAAAACCCAACATATATATCATTTGTATGATAAGATAGTGGTGCTGGTAGAGTACATGAATGCTAGTTGACTAGGATAACTCCTTGTTATGTATGTGCAATATAGGACACTTGGTGTCATGGTATGCTAGACGATATTTGCGACTTTTGTATGAAAGATTGTGGTTGGATCACAACACTTATATGAAAGACTGTGGATGGATCAATCACATGAATGAAAAATTATGGTTGGATCACAACACATGTACGAAAGATTGTAGTTGGATCACATATGATAGTATTGGTTGGTCTTGGGGTGGATACCCTAGGGGTTGTATATGGTTTATTTATATAGCCTGAGAACTCTTAGTGTAAAGCCTTATGTAACGTCACAGAAATAAGACCCAAAATTTTCATTATTGATTTAGTAAAAACATTAATCCAAACATTTCCATACAACCCAAAAAGACCAAAGTATGGTCACTACATTAATACATATCAGAGTAAATCTCAAAATGCGGAAAAAGGTGGTGTGTGCTCTCCAATCATCCCGGGCTCTTCCCTTTCGATCCGGAAGTACCTGAAAACATAAACTGAAAACCGTAAGCCCAAAGCTTAGTGATTCCCCAAGATACCACATATCATACATAAATAAACACATATTGGGTCCCCGCCTCACATAAGGTCTCGACCGGTATCGAGTCCCACTCGGGCTCGGGCCCCGCTCGAATTACAAATCTATCATTCATTAGGCCCTGTCTGACATCGGGCCCCGCCCGGTACACATAATAAACATATAACACATAATCATGCTAACACATGCAATAATCACAAACCAATAGCATAGAATACAGTCATCGGGCCTCGCCCGACATCGAGCCTCGCTCGGTATACCAGCACATAACACATGCAAGAGTCACGTAGACATCTAGCATCCTATCATAAAAATCATGGGCCGACATTGGTGCCTTCGACCCACTAACACAGTGAAGAAACTCACCTCAGACTGCGGAATCTCACAAATAAAACTCTGACTGCTGGCCCGCTAAAATCCCAGCGTTATAATCACAAAATAACATCCAATTAATAATTGGTGCCTGACTCACACTAAGAGTCCAAACTAGGGTAAAAGACCTTTTTACCCTTTTCCTAACTTGGCCTAAGGCCAAGGCCTAATCCAACTGTCCAAAAAGCACAAATTCCAAAATAATCACCCAAAGCCCAAATATGGTCATATCTTCCAAATTGGGCCCAATTCCCTTTCATGGGCCTCCAACCAAAGAATCAACTAAAATAACATCAACCTAAAATAATATTCTGATGGCCCAACAAAGCCCTAAACTCCAAAGGTCCAACATGGGTCCAATACCAAAAGGCCCACAAATCCGAAGCCCACTACTGAGTACGCAAGGCGTACTCAGCTCGTACGCTTAACGTACTCGCTTTGGGGATTTTACGCGCAGCGTACCAACTTGTACGCCTAATGTACTCCCCAGCTTGGCCAACTTTCTCATTCAACTCTTAAACGGTTAAGACTTGAATCCATCTTTCAGATCTGACCTCCTAAAGGTGGTTTATCATGTAAAGTTGGCAACTTTACGTGCATGCATGGCTTAATGGGGTTTTATAGCTCAAAAGAACTTAATAAAGGGTCTTAACACATGTAGAAGTCCATAAACACCTCAAAGATTGCATTTTTATGGACAAAGGGACCAAAAGGACCCTATATCTACCACCAATCACTTCTGGAGTGAATCAAGAGGCTTAACAATCAAACCATAGACTCAAAAAGCACAAAATGACACCAAACTAGATCTAACATCATGGATTAGCAAGATGGAAGCTTTTTACCTCACAAGGAAAGCAAATGATGAACAAATCTCAGATCTTCAAGCTCCAAGCACAACTCCAAATGGTTCACTTCTTCTTCTCCGTCACAAAGCACCAACCAACACACTTTAAGGCTCAAACTCTCAAGATCTCACTAGGGTTTCGACTTTCTGGACAAGCGGGGATGAAGGTTGTCTAAACATAACCAAATGAGGCCATCATAAGGCTTAAATATGGTACAATACCCTAAAATTTAGGTTTCACTTAATCACATGTATGCCATGCGTACCCAAGCGTACACCCTGCATACGTGGTCCGAAGGCGCGATCCAAAATCGGGCTAGTACGCTAAGCGTACCACCCTGTACGCCCCACGTACTAGCTTTAAGGACCATTCTTGCAAACTTTTTAGATTAGGGATTAAATATGAAACTTACTAAATTTTCAAGTGTTACACCTTATTGCATGGTTCTTGTTTGATTTATTAGTCTCGGGTATGATCATCTATTCGACTGTCTATTTGATTCCCGACTACATATGACTATGTATTCATGAGGCGGTTGCCATTATTAGCACTGACCCGGTATAGACATGGGCATGACATGTATGAAAGACCAATGATGTAGCCTCTGAGAAGTTGTATATTGGCAAGAGTGCAGTGGACGTCTGGACGATACATATGATTAGTATGTGTGTTGTATGCATGTTGGAAAGAGAGTTCGCAAATCGATGTTAGAGCCGAGAACCTTGTTTGTATGCATTGCATATATGGTGGAATATACAATATATACTTGGGAACTCACTGAACTTTATGCTTACAGTTGGGGATTAAATGTTTTGCGGGTTGTTCGAGAGAAGAGCTCGACAGGACTGTACACTCGCATTGAAGACATTGGTTTCCGTTGTTTTGCAATTCAACTATGTTAATCTTATATTTTCGAACAAGTGAATGTTACTTAATGATTTTAATTAAAGGGTTTTAATTGGTTAACTTATTTTAATTAAAAATCTTTTGTAATTTTTTTAGGACGTTACAACTTCTCACATTTCTCTTGTGTGAATTGTTTAAGAAAAGCGAGGGGCAGAGTTTGAACATTTCTTTTGTGGGGGGGGGGGGGGGGGGGAGGCAAAAATATAATATGTATGAACATTGGAGAGCAGGGGGGCCACAACATAAATTTTATATTTTTAGGCCTAATATGTATAAAAAATTAAATATTAGAAAGTATTTCTAGCAAACAAATCGGGGGGGCCACAACCCCTCTTGGCCCTAATAAAGCTCCGTCCATGAGAAAAACAACAAATTCCTTCTGAGACATACTGGCAAAATGAGTATTCTCACACATGTTGTATACCATCATAATAACAAAAAGGTTTGTTAATGAACATACTTTGGAAATGAACTTCGATCTTGACGAATCTTGCCATCGAGAGGATTACTTTGTGGGAGCATTTTATTTAATTCAGGACTAGAGAAAAGAAACGAAAACGGGGATACAATGTTTAATTTAAAACCTTTCGAATATATTGGAGTATACATGGCAATCTCATTTAATGACATTGCACCGTTATTGATTACATGCCATATAAATTAGCGGCTTGCCTGATACATTGTTAAATAATGATATTTTAAACCTTTAAAATTGAGGTTGTGGTGACTTGGTAAGACATATGGAAGATATGTTGGATAAGCTATTGACCCGTGTTCAAATCCTGATACTATTCAACCCTTGTGGCCATAGACGTTCGTCTGCAATGACTCTAAGAAATGAAAATTTAATTGTCATGAGTTATTTGTTCTTACAAATATCAACACTTAATATATATATATATATATATATATATATATATATATATATATATATATATATATATATATATATATATATATATATATATATGCGGCACGGTTCGTTTTTTTGCGATATTTTCAAGACTAGAAACCGCACCGTACCGATCATTTTCGGTTTTTGCAAAACTAAAAACCGCAACGTTGGTTTTCATTTCGGTTTCGGTTTATGCGGTTTTTCCGGTTTGCGGTTCGGTTTTTGTTCACCCTTATTAGTCGGTGCGCGAAAATGAGCTCATTGTTAGAAAAGTTCCCTTAAAAAAAAATTTCATTCCTTAAAATAAAATAAAAAAACCCAGGGTGACCTTTTAAAAGGACGTTCCCTTGAAGTAAAAAAAAAAAAAAAAAAACAGTTATGAAATAAATGAGATAAATTGTGTGGACTAACCCAAACTTTATTTAAGCTATGCAAACACCCTCGCAGTACATATACCCTGGTCGTGAAAATTATTTCACTTGCTCGTTTCCATCGTCTCTTTTCTAGATCGTTCGACGTCGCTCAACTACGAATCTTCAGGGAGTCAAGCAACCACTCTTCCTTTCTTCGGCATTCAACCATCGTCTCTGTAAGTTTTCGCTTGAAATGAATCTTCTTGTCAGTTTCAAGGATTTGCAGTCTCAACTCAGTTCTTGGTTTTCGATTTTATGTTTCCTTAACTTTTTTTTTTCTGCACCAATCAAGTGAGTTATACTTGTAGTGCTCATGTCAAACTAAACGAAGTTCGATTTTTTCTTCTCGTAGAAACACAAATACACAATTCTATTAGTTTGCTTGCAATGTTCGTTGAAATTCCGAAGTCAATGCCCTAGTCAGGTTCTCTGAAAATCCCAAACCCTGATTTTACTTATGTTTTGAGAAAAAAGCCCCAAATACTTGATTGTTTGATTTTATCCCAACTTTCGATGGTTCCGCCTAATGTTTTCTATTTGAAGTTACATTTTCACTTTTGAAACATTGGAGATGAATCCTGATGTATAGATTCGAATCTTGGAAATTTTAGCATCAAGATTGACATGCTGCCAACGGAATTAGTACTTTTGTACCGTAACTTGTGTGTGAATGTGATATGAGTCTACCAACTTTTATTCCTCTGAAATCCAAGAGACGGATGATCCATAGTTCTTAATCATGCATGACTGTCAGCATTGGTGTTTTTAGAGCTTTTGATCTATTGCAATCTTATGAGCTTTTTTTGTTTTCTCCCTAAATTGGATGGTCTTATCATTATGAGTTATGAGTAGTTAGTGTTGTTCAGTTTGATCATTCTGGTTATTTTATAACTGGGACTGTTGTGATGATATCCTGTGGGCCTTGTTTCAGATTTAAGCATTCCATGGCAGATAAGCATTCCGATGAAGGTGGGAGCACGGGCAATTTTGGTGGTGAAAGTTCTGAATCAACTGTGGAGATCCGTATCAAGACACTTGATTCACAGTCGTACCAGTTTAATGTAGATAAAAATGTGTGTGCTGCTTCCTCTCTTTCTCATTCGATTATATTTATGATTTATCCCGAGATGTAGCCGAGTCGTATGTTTTTGTGAAAACTTGCAGATGCTAGTTTCAGCATTCAAAGAGAAAATAGCTACTGATGTTGGACTTCCAGTTGGACAGCAGCGGCTCATCTTTCGGGGCAAGGTGTTGAAGGACGAGCTCCGCCTTTGTGAATATCGTATCCTACTTTTTCTTGCTTAATTTCTCTAGTTTATTACTAGTAAGATTCTTTGTTCTTACTTGTTAGTGTTAGAATGTATATGTGAAAGAAAGCCTTAACGATCTACAGACGTTGGAAGTGGAGACACATTGCATCTAGTGGCTAGACAGGCACAGCCTTCTGAATCACAACCTCAATCTGGTACCACAACAACTGCAAATGGTAGTAATACAGGTGTGATATGGTCTTTTCTTTATGCCAATTTTAACTGCTAGAAAGTCCTTTATAAGTATTGCATTTGAATATCTGCATTTTGTTTGTAACAGGACAAAATGCAAATGGTGGAGGTGCACGTCCGCGTGTCAGTCATATTTCACATAGTGTAGTACTTGGGACCTTTGCAGATAGAAATGAAGATGGCAATCCTGATCTTAGTCGGGTGTGTGCTTTCTTTCTGACCCTTTGTAGCATAATGCCTTTTATGTTTTGTACTTTATTCTTTCGGTTTTAGGTCATTGGTGCTGTTTTAAATTCATTTGGAATTGGGGGCCAGGGCCAAGGCCAGGTGTCCATGCCAAACATGCAGGTGATTTTTGATCTTTCTTTCTTTGTTTCTTAAGTCAAAGCCTTGTATATAATTTATGGTTGTGTACCCCTTTGCAGTTGAATGTTCCTGTGCAAGTTGCCCAAGGAAATGAAGCTGGAGTTAATGCCAACAATCAAGGTCAACAGGGAAACCCTAGTCAACCTGGTTTTGCCATTCCAGGAATGGCTTTACCAACACTTGTTACGGTAGTATTACATTACATTACAAGATTTTTCTTCTATATTCAATTATTATCTTGTCTCTAACTCTTTTTATGCTGTCTTACTCTTACATGGTTTCGTGTGTTTTCAGCCAATTCCTGATTCATTACACACACTTTCCGAGTTCATGAATCGAATGGAGCAGGCATTGTCACATAATGGTAGGAATTATTGCTATATATATATATATATATATATATATATATATATATATATATTTTAAATCTGAATTTGATGGCATGGCAGGGTATCAGCAAAATCAAGCTCCAAATGGTGCAGAGGCCCCACCAGCTGTAGTATTGCCATCTGGTCCTCGTGGCGTGCCTTCACCTGCAGCTCTGGCTGTTGTTATGCGACATGCTCTACAACTTGTCAATGGGCCTGCTACTGATTCTCTTTCTGTACTATCTTTTACCCCTAATTTAGTATCCTTTTATTTATTTTAAATTTCAATACCCATTCTAATATGTCATGCTGCAACTATCTTGTAGCATACTGCAAGAAGGCTGGAGGAAGAGGAGAGTTGCACTGATCTGACAGTAAGAACCCAAATCCAGTCAGAAGCCATGCAATCAGGGCTTGCTATGCAACATTTAGGCGCCCTTCTACTTGAGCTCGGGCGTACAATGTTGACTTTGCGTGTCGGACAGTCTCCCGTATGTCATTTTTCTTTTTCTCTTTCCATCTTTGGGATTTATCATTTATAGGAGTTTGTTGTTTAGGGTGTATGTGTAATGTATGTTGCAGGCTGAATCTTCTGTAAATGCTGGACCTGCTGTTTACATCTCTCCAACTGGGCCCAATCCAATAATGGCACAGGTAGGTTTGTTTGTTTTAGCTCTTTGTTGTGGCTACTGACCTGTAATTGTGATAGTAATTAATTGTTTAATTACCAAAAAGATGAATGTAATTGACTGGTTTGTTGCAGCCCTTTCCTCTGCAAACTAATTCAATGTTTGGTGGTCCTCCAACACCCTTGGGTCCTCTTGGTGTTCCAAGGCATATAAATGTTCATATCCATGCGGGAATCGGTCCAAGGGGAACTAATGTTGATTCAAACCAAGGAGAACAACCTAATGAAACAAGTAACGTTCCAGCAGGTGATGATTCCATTACTGCTATGCTATCTCCTTATACATACCAAAAATTAGTATATCTGACTGACTGTGTTTTTCTTTAAAATTCCACAATTTTAGCTGCTGCTGCAGGAGTTAATGTGCAAACACAAAGTAGAGGTGTTACAAGAAGTGAAAATCCAGCTTCTCAAGGTATGTCATATGCATAACATGTTTAATTGGTGTTTGTAAATGATTTGTGTAAAGTTTGATATTTGTACATTCAGGCCAACCAGATGGAAGTGTGTCAGAATCTGAGACCAGAACGGTATGTTAACTTATATGCATTTTTTCAATTTTTTATAATTACAAGAATGCCACTAATCTAGTATTGACTATTGAGCAGGATACAGAAGGTGCTGGAAACACCATTGCCATTACCAGCAGCAGTGCAACAAAATCTGCAAGTGAGGTTCAAAATGATGCTTCTGCTTCATCATCGACTCCAGACAATGCTCCAACCGTTCCTCTTGGACTTGGGTTAGGAGGCTTACAACCCAAGGTGTGTGCACTTGTTCCATATATTTGAAAAAAAAATGACCAATTTACCCTTGTTTGACTTGTTCTATGAATGTGATATTAGAGACGAAGTCGGCAGACAAAACCAGAAGTGACTACTACTACTACTACTAGTAATGCCCCTGTGCCTCCTGTTACTTCTAGTCCAGCTGGCCAGTTGGATCCTGCTGCAATCATGAGTCAGATGGTGGCAAATCCTGCACTTGATGGTCTCTTGTCTGGAGTTTCAAGCCAAACCGGGATTGGTTCACCGGATGTATTGAGGAACATGTTGGGTCAACTAACTCAGAACCCTGCAATGATGAACACCGTAAATCAAATTGCTCAACAGATTGATGGGAATCAAGATCTGAGCAACATGTTTTCTGGTATGGGTGGCGGTGGTGGTGGTGGTTTTGATCTGTCGGGTATGATACAACAGATGATGCCGATTGTTGCCCAAGCTTTTGGTGGTGGGGGATCTGGTTTAAACATGCTTCAACAACCACCTTCCATGGATAGTGGGGTTCAACCTAGAAGCATAAATGATAGTTCTAGTGCTCCTCAGGTTTGTTTGAAAAGATTTGTAAAAATGACAAATCCCTTGTTTGAAACTGAAACTGAAACTGATGTGTTTTGTTTGTAGTTGAACCTGCGGGATTTGGCTGAGAAGATCGAACAGCAGGAGTCGCCAGATGTAGTGTTTTCGTCTGTGGTTGAAGCTGCTGCTCGTGTGAACAACAATAACAATGGAGATGAGCTTTCTGAGTTGCTTATCCAAGAGGGTCTTGTTGATGTTAGTATCTTTCTTAAATTTCTTTTTTGAATTTTGTTGGATTGGATTTTGGAGGTTAATGCTTAAGTTTGGGTGGTGCAGGAGTTTATGGAAATGTTGAAGACCGATGTTTCACAACTGCTGGAGGAAGAGGAATAGGTGTTCTTTTTTATGGAATGGAATTGATGTACAAAATACATGGAATGGAATGGAATCGGATGTTATTATTACTCTTCTTGATATGATATATATATATATATATATATATATATATATATATATATATATATATATAATGTGGAACTTACCCAAATACTTGTTCTTGCATGGCTATGAATTTTGATTTTGGTCCCCTCTAAATCTATTACCAATTTACCATTGTTTCCTGTTAAATATGATCTGACCCGACCCAAATAATTGTACAGAACCGTCTCTAAACTTTAGAATTATGAATTTAAAGTTTTGAAGTTTAGGGTGTGTTTGGCTTTATCTTTTTGAGAGCCAAAAGTTCTTTTTGGAAAAGATAAAATGCAAAAGATGTTTGGTAAAAGCATTTTAAAAGCAACTTTTGGATTTTTGATATAAGGAAAACTAACTTTTTGGAAAAGTCAGGAAATCCTAACTTTTTGTAACTTTTGCCAAAAGGACTTTTGGCTCCCAAAAAGATAAGCCAAACACCCCCTTAATATCCGCCCAATTTCAGGTCAACCCATGTTAATTTTCGTATTGTCACATCGACCTAAGTTATATTTATTTTTACATTTACTTTTACGTTAGTTTCGTCTCTATCAATTACACCCCGTTCCCGAGTTCAACTTAACAAGAGAAAAGAAAGGAAATTGGTGGAAATGAGAAGAAAATAAAAGAAATTGGTGTTCCCGAGTTTCATTAAAGGAGGTAAGCGGAGGGAAATGGGAAGATTAATTTCCCTCCTAACTTTCCTTCCGATTTGGGAGGATTTGGAAAGAAAGAACAAAATGATTCATTTTCCTTCCACTTCTCTCCAACTCGGGAACACAAAAGAAAATTTTGTTTCCTTTCCTTTCTCTTCTTTTCTCTCGTGACTTTCTTTTCTCTTCTCTTCTTTTCTTTTGTTAAACTCGGGAACTAGGCGTTAATGTTAGCTAATTGGTACCAAGACTTATCAAATATTAAATCTTTAATGCTTACAATTTTAGAGATGGAATGAGTATCGTTTCTCGTTCCATTTAACTTCTTAGGGAGGAGGGAGTCGTTCCCTTCCAACCCACTGAACCCACTGCCACATCACTTTTTCTCTTTTATTTTTCTTCATCTTTCCCAACCCACAACACACGGAAACCCTATCTTTTTTAACCCACTCAACCCACTCAATTAAAAAAAATACAAAACAATCAAAGGTAAAATCTTAATTAGCAATAGAGTTACCGACGGTACCACTCCCGCTTCAACGAGTTGGTTAATTGGTTTCACCAACCCACTTCATCGTCTCTCTCTACTTTCACTCTCTCATTTTCTCTTGTACAATGTGTTATAGAACTTGTACCTTAGTTGTTTTGTATTTTTTTCAATTGAGTGGGTTGAGAAATATAAGATTTCCGTGTGTTGTGGGTTGGGAAAGATAAAAGAGAAAAAATGATGTGACAGTGGGTTCAGTAGGTTGGAAGGGTACGACTCCCTCCTCCCTTAGGAACAACCCCTAAAAGATCTGGATAATATAATTTTGTGTTTTCTAACATTGTTGGCAAAAAATTAATATTTTTTCCTCTCTTTCTGTCATAAATGTAAACTTTATATGTTATTCTTTTACTATTTTAAATAGTCTTTCAAGATTGTTATATTTTTTAACCATTTTGCTATAATATAAATTTCAAAGAAGTCATTATATATATAAAGTTGTTAGTTTTTATAATAAAAAATTATAATTTATTTGGAACATAAAATAATTAAATCAGATGAAAAACATTAAAACGTTTATGATTAAAAGAAATAACAAAATAAAGAATTGTAAAAAATGTCAGACCATCTTTTAATTTTTGGTCTAATTTTTCTTGTAATGATCGATTCAACGTTTATTGTAATGATTGATTCAACTTATGATAAAAAAGATATACCTTAGTTTTTTTTTCAAATGAATTATTATTATTATTACTATTATTATTATTATTTTTTTTTGGATTCGGCCATTCTTGAAATACAAAATCCGGTTATCAAGTATCAAAAACTTTCATGGACAATTTCTATTAATGTGTCTACATAGAGGAACACATGTATATATTTGGTTTTTCTCCTTTTACTCTAACATTTAAAGAGAGTTAATGAATTACAACTCTATAGAGCTCAAAAACAAATTTAAGAACCAACATAGAATGTTTATTAATTGTCTAAGATGTCGAATTTTGTGGACAAAACTACAAGATTGGTCCTGATATTCAAAAATTTTTGGATAAGGTCCAAAAAGTTTCCAACTTACATGGAAGGTCCAAAATCAAAAAATTCCTGTGATTTTGTTCAAAAAAATTTGAAAAGACGGTTATGCCCTTTTATTTTCTTTTTTGTATTTTTTATAATTATTCTAATATTTTTTTACTTTAAAAATAAAAAGAAAATAAAAGAATTATCCCCCACCCCCACCTATCCCCACCGTTATCTCTCTCTCTCTCTCTCTCTCTATCTCTCTCTCTCTCGGTCAAATCTCTCAACATAACCGACATCCGATTGAAATCGCGGTAGGCCAAGGAATTCCGGTGGGTTCTAGAACAGAATCGGAGTCTACGAGAAGTAAATCTCTCGAAAACGTACTTGAAAAAAAAGGAGTCGTTTACGTCGCTGCCAAACTTTTCAAAAATCGGTGGTTGGAAAGCTTGCGTGTAGATGATAACCGATTTGGCGAGATCGGTGTAGAACACTTGCTCTGTCCATTGAATAGGTTTTCGACTCTTCAAATTCAAGCAAACGTAACCCTAAAATGGATTACATTTGAGGGAAGAAGAACGAAGATTGGGAGAGATGGGTTGATAGCGATAATGGAGACTTTACAGGTAAATCATTGGATTGAAGAGATTGATCTTGCGAGAACCCCACTTCAGAGTTCTGGGAAAGCGAAAGGAATACATTTGAAATTAGGTCAAAATGCAAAATCTGAACCTGAAGTTGAAGTTGATTTGCTCAAGGATATGCCTATGAAGTTGATCCGTCAACCTCTTTGACAAGAATCCTGTTTGACTTTCTACATTTTCTTCTTTATTTTCCCATTTGACATAAAACACTGAAATCGAAACACAGAACGATTGAAGCTGCAAATGTCGATGATTGTAGGGCGGTGTTAGGGAAACAAGGAAGAGCTATTGAAGTCTCAAAAGACCATAAACCGAATTGCCAATCAGAGAGATTAATACTCGAAGAACTCGGTGGAAATCTCATACACAGTCGGAATCAAGAAGATGTGAGAGGGGTTTTGCAGTTAGGGGAGGCGGAGGGTTTGTAGGCGGAGGTTTCCAGTCAAAGACACACATACACAGTCGAAATCTATGGATTGGGTGGACAGATCGTAACATCGTTCTAGGGCACATCCGCTTTCATATCTGGGTTTGTGGCATTGAATTTATCAATCGAACATCTACATTAACAATGAACAAAGCTGTGAAGTAATAATTTTGTTGTTATCACTAATCAAAAATTGAAATCGACAGTACCTTTTCGATTTGGAATAGATTATAGATCTGGAAGGAGAGAGAGAGAGAGGTGTGCAGATCTTTTATTATTTTTATTATTATAAAATAAGTATATTTGATATTAAAAAATGAAAAAACAAATTAAAAGGGTAAAAGAGTCTTTTCAAGTTTTTTTAGACTAAAAACACAGAAAAACCTTGATTTTGGACCATCTATTTAAGTGAAAAACTTTTTTGAACTCTATCCAAAGTTTTTTAAATACCACAGGGACAAATCTTGCAGTTTTGTCAATTTTGTGCTTGAGCTCCTCAACCGCGAATGAGTAAGGTGTTGTTTGTTTTTTCTGAGGCAAAATGTCTGTAGTCTGCGGACCATATCTGTAGACCTCTGCAGTAGAAGAGGCGGACCAAACGTCTGCAGTCTGAAAAAAGAAGACTGTTTGTTTTTTAACATCTACGGGCTACTAAAATAAACTGAAATCTAAATAAACTGATTTTTTTAAACTTCAAAGTGATTTTTTAATATTTTATGACTTTGTTATAAATAATTAACGAATCTAGATCAACTTTTATGTATTATTGTATAAAAAATAAAAATAAAAATGGTATGAATTAACGTATATATTTGATAAAAAACCAACAACTTTGGTTGCAAAGTTATAACTAAACATTACAATTAGTGATCGAAGAAATTGATACTTAAATAGACGGAAATAAATTTCGATTTTTTCAATTATATCCATTAAAAACGTACCATAAATATTTTCTCGAGAAATTGACGATACTGTATTAAATAATGTTTTACAAAATTTGGCAAAAAAATATAAGAATATATTATGATTTTTTTTTTTCATATTTATATAAACAACTTCAACGACTATTATATTGTAATAAATCTTTATTTATAAATTTGCCAAAAATATCATGTTTGTATCGTCGAACGTTTTTTTTTATGTTTTGTAATTTTTTTTTCAAATTGTTTATCATTAATAAAGTTGGAAAAAATATAAATTAAAAAAAACTTAAAAAAAGTAAAGATATATATGTTTTTTTAGGCTAGAAGATGTCTGAAGATGTTAGAAGACTCTGGTCCACATCTGCGCCAAGGAGAGGGCGCGCATACATTTTTAGGTCTGCAGTCTTAAAAAAAACAAACAGTCTGCGAAGGCTAATGTCTGCGCGGCGCAGACAGAAGAGGCCACACAGATCTGCAGACAAAAAACAAACACTACCTAAGTAATTCAACTGGAAGGTCACTTTCATTTTGTTCCTAGCTCTTTGCTAGGCTACAATAAAATACTTTTGCCGTTCAAAAAAAAAATCAACTCGAAGTATATCAGATCTCGTTTTTGTTTTTGTTTTTTGCTTAAAATTGATGAAAAAAACACGATCAAATGCAAGACAAGAGACCAATCGATTTCGATATATCATTTGCCACATCAATGACACCTTAGGGCTGGAAGGAGTGATGTCAAATTGTGTCGAAGCCACCACCTCCACCTCATTTTCTACCAGCCAGTGGCGGAGGCAGCCCCTTTAAGAGGGGGCATAGACTCAATTTGAATGTGGGTCCTACTTCATTACTACTAAAAAAAAAATCTGATTTTTACTAAAAATCCCCTTTGGCACCCCTTTTTACATCAAATATCCCCATTGACATTTTTTTACTGAAAAAACCCAAAAATATTTTAAATTTTCAGAATTTTATACTTCTATGTATTTTTTTTATCAATAATGAAACCCAATTAGATTTTGTTCTGGATCCGCCACTGCTGTCTGTCTAAATCAACCAAATACCAAACCCAAAGCTTTGCAATGAGATATACTCGGCAACTCATTCATTTTTCATGCCATGTCGAGATGAAAATTGCTGATTACGCCCCCTCGACGAGCGGTACCAAACCACTCCTTACAACCTAATGCCACAAGTAGAGGTGGCAATGGGTTGACCTGGGTTGGGTTCGGGTTCAACCTATTTAATAATTGGGTTGAAAATTTCAACCCAACCCAACCTATTTATTTAAATGGGTTGATATTTCCAACCTAACCCAATCTTTTAGATAAATGGGTTGTCACCGGGTTGACCTGTTTATGTAGTTCCCGACCCAACCTATTACATAAATTGGTTAAACTAGGGTTAACCCATTTAAAATCAATTAAATAAATTATATAATTAAATATTATACCACTTAAATTATAAAACGTAAATAAGACTTTGTAATTATGACAAAAGCACAATCCTAATTCATAAATACAAATAAATTGTTCAAATAACATTAAAAATGTTTAGTTTCACAGTGATTTTGAAGAGTGACCAGTATTATCGTCGCTAAAAAAATGATGGAAATTAGGATTGAATTTTATTAAACATAGATAATAATAATGCAAAGTTATAATTTACAAATTAATACATGATAATATTCAAATAATTTTAAATTAAATATATATATATATATATATATATATATATATATATATATATATATATATATATATATATATATATATATATATATATTAAAGTTAAATGGGTTGACGAGTTGATATTTTTTACCCAACCCAACCTATCCAATTAAATGGGTTAGACGGGTTGACCCATTTAGGTTAAATAGGTTGAAAATCTCAACCCAACCAGCCTAATTTTGGGTTGGGTTGGCGGATTTGGTTGATTTTTGCCAGCTCTAGCCACAAGGTACGTAGCGGGAAGGCTGTGCGGGAACGAATACCGCACCTCAAAACGTAACACCGAGGGTGCGGGAAACGAATGAGGGGAAGCCTCCCTGCTCTCTCTCTCTCTATCATATTCTCATTGGTCAGTTTTTTTTTTTAATATTTATTAAATTATATACCTACTAAGAATATATCAAAATTCATGGTTTTTAATTCCCTACAAAATGAGTATAATTTGTATAAAATATATTTTTTAGAAAAATAAAAAAATAAATTGTAGTGAAAGATGATAAATTCATGCCTTTTAGTTAAGGAAATGGGGGAGTGAGGGAAAACTGAAGTGGTGAAAGATTTTTTCCATAAATACCATGTGGTCTAATAAAACTGTCCATGTAAGTTTATGTAAGTTTTTGAAAGATGATAAAGTGATTTTTGTAAGTTTAAAAGGGCTGACTTGTAAATTTTTATAAAAATGTCAATGGCTTTTTTGAAAAATCTGTCAATAATAAACATTTTGTATTAAATTGCACATCCAAAAATAATAAACGATTTTTTAATTTGACTCTAAAAATCAACGAGTAAAGTGGAAAGAGTATACAAATTAGAGGAAAGAGGGAAAACAGTAAAGGCTCAAATCGGAGCATCTCCGACTCCCAGAGGTAGTTAATCGTCCCGCCGTCACAGAGCTCGTGTGTGTGTGTTTGTGTTTTGTTGCTTGCGCACAATCAATGGACGGAACCCACGGCGGCGAGAAGACCAAAAGCCGCTTGTGCAGCATCTGCAACCAACGGAGGCCTGCTCTCAAACGACCTAAAACCCTTCAACAAGTAATACCCTACTTCCTACTCCCGCGCCCCTTTTCTCTTTTGATCGTAATTTATTCATATATCTGTATCCATGACACAATCTTCTTCTAGCAAGTCATATTCACATCTTTTATGGCTGATACTTTTACATGCGTGTGATTTTTCTCGTCCAGTCATGTGATTTAATCGTGGAAGTTGAATAAACTAATTTAGATTTTCTAGAATGCACAAAGATTGATTTGTAACATGTACGCCATTCCGTCCTTTCGAAATTGATGAGAGTTTCTTTAAACTTTCATGGAATTCGAGTTCATCACATTGAACTGTCACACTGCACAAATACTGCTTACGGCCGATTACGCAATTTTGTTAAACCCCAAAAACAATAGGTTTAGTCACAGCAGGCGAGCTCCACATGTTTATTAGAAAGAGGGAGATGGAAAATTGAAATAATTACAATAAAATAGTTGAAGAAATGAATCAATAGATGAACCATTAATCCAAATTTATAGTTTTCTGAAGGTGTGCCCTTTTTGCTGGTCATGTGTAGCTAAAATTTTGTTGGGTATTAAGATTTGCAGAGAATGCTTTTATGTGGTATTTGAGGAAGAGATTCATAGTGTCATTGTGAACAACAAACTTTTTAAGCCAGGAGAGCGCATTGCCATAGGTGCTTCTGGTGGAAAAGGTAAAATTTACTAAACTGCATAACATCTTATTTGCCTGAAACATGATATATTTTGGCACGGAAATTAACTTATATGAAATTAAAATACAATAAAAGTTATAATTTTGTACCATAATTTGGTTAAACTAACTCGATTCTAGAGAAATGAATATTCTAGAAACCTAAGCAACAATTCTCTTTGGGATGCCCTAAGGATAGATGCAAATGCAACTTTTCCTTTCTTTTCAAAATTTGAAGTCAAGAATTCTTTCTTCCCATGATAGATATATGTGTATGTGGAATTGTATGCAGACTCCACAGTTCTTGCGTATGTAATGTCAGAATTAAACCGTCGCCACAACTATGGCTTGGATCTCTTCCTCTTGTCAGTTGATGAAGGGATCACAGGCTACAGGGATGACTCACTCGAAACTGTTAAAAGAAATGAAATTCAGGTAAATCAATGCTATCTTTATCTTCTTCAAAGCTGGCTATAGTTTATAATCTCATAACTTTTGGAACATTTTATTCTTTAGAAAGTAAGTTTTAACTGATAAACCAAAACATTGTGTATATTTTTTTGTTTATGATTTACAGTATGGTCTGCCACTCAAAGTTGTTTCCTATAAGGATCTATATGGATGGACAATGGATGAGATTGTGAAGATGATCGGTCTTAAGAACAATTGCACTTTTTGTGGGGTTTTTCGTCGCCAGGTAATAGTCAAATTAATGAGATATAATCTCTCTGCATTATCAGTTTATCTCATGATTTTTTTTTCTTTCTAATTGAGCTTAATCATTAATGATTTGAATTTCTCTTTAAGGCTCTTGATCGTGGTGCTGCCTTGTTAAAAGTGGACAAGCTAGTTACTGGGCATAATGCTGATGATATTGCTGAAACAGTTCTGTTGAATATTTTGCGAGGTGATATTGCTAGGTAAAATTTTCAAGATTTTTGATTTATTTTATTCTCTTGTAGTATTGTTTATAAGTTATATCTCCATGTCACGTAATCAATCTACTTGTGGTTTTGGTTATAGATTAAGCAGATGCACATCTATAATCACTGGCGAAGATGGACCAATTCCTAGATGCAAGCCATTTAAATACACATATGAGAAGGAAATCGTTATATATCCTTTTTTATGTTAAACTCTTTAAGTGCATTTTTTTTATTTTTTTATTTTGAATTTTTGTTAATGGCTTCTCATTCATCTCTATTGATAACCTTAACTACTGGTTACGTATGCATACTTCAAGAAACTGGACTACTTTTCAACCGAGTGTAAGTTTGTTATCGTGCTTTGTGAAAGGAATTTTTTACTTTTGTAGGCATTTGACTAATAGTCAGCCAAATGATTGAATGCAGGCATATATTCACCAAATGCTTATCGTGGATTTGCTCGAGAGTTCATTAAAGATCTAGAGAGAATCAGGTATGTTTTTTTTTTAATGGAAAAAGAGTTCCAATATTTTTGACTTATAATTGAATAAAATTATTATTTTGGTTATGTAATAGACCCCGAGCCATACTTGACATCATCAAATCAGGTGAAGATTTCAGGATCGCCACATCTACAAAAATGCCGGAGCAGGGAACTTGTCAACGCTGTGGATATATTTCTAGCCAGGTAAAATAATATCTATATATTTTTTTAAACTTTATGTTTGTTTGATATAATAATAATAATATATGGGGATGTAAACATTTAGGTGAGTAATTTTTAGCCAAGTTTAAGTGTTTATTATAAACTCGCAGAAATGGTGTAAAGCTTGTGTTTTGCTGGAGGGGCTTAATCGGGGTTTGCCAAAGCTGGGGATTGGGAGAACCCGAGGTGTGAACCGAAATGATGATCAACACAATGATGCCAAGAATATACAGAGCAAACCATGTGGAAGTCTTGATTTTTAACGCAAAATCTTTTCATTTTTATTTGTTACTCGAATTTGATTATATGCAGCTTCATTTCATTTTTGTAATGATTGTCAGAAATAGGGGTATGATGAAAATTGAAAGAAATGTGTTGCACACAATTAGTTTCAAAGAGTTATCACATTTCTGTGACAATAAATACTCGATTCAGAAAGACTTGACAACATAAGTTGAAGCCCATGAGTATACAATTTTGTCTTTAATAAATAAAAGATAAAAATAAAACATGTGAAAGTTTATTAAAAAAATCAAAAAGTAGGATGTTAGTAAAGAAAGACATGATATATATATATATATATAATCAGTATAGAATATTTTGTTGGTGGAAAAACAAGGGAGGATGTCTGGATGTGTGAAAATTTATGTTGCATTTGACTACATGAAGAAAATGCAAGGGGTTAAAGTGTATTATTGTTTCCTGATTATTCTCCAAATTGTTGATTCCTGGCCAATTCAAGAAAGCATGTATATAGCTCCACCTTTGATGTGAAAACAAATATTGTCCACTCAAAAACGGCATTCAGTTTTTATAGTTCGAAAACAGTTTTGAATGGGCAGAAAACACCATCTAAAGCATGTCATGAGGAAAGATGAAAGCTTCCCCGCCTTACATTTTCATTTTCATTTTGTGGTGAGACTTGAGAGCTTTTTGTCCTGAGATTATAACCAAAATTAATTAAGCAAGAAAAGAAAGAAGAAGAAAGAATTGGAAAATGGCATTTAGTGGGACAATACAGAAATGTAAGGCATGTGATAAGACTGTTCATTTCGTTGAAATGATTTCTGCTGATGGAGTCCCTTTCCATCGGTCCTGCTTTAGATGCACCCAGTGCAATGGGAAACTTGTGGTATGCTGCTATATATTTTCATTTCCCTCTTTTAATTATATATAATATATTTATACACCAAAATAATTGTTACCATGGAAAACTGTATTTCAATCAAGAACATCTTCTATTATTATTATTTTTTTTAAAAAATTTGATGTATGTATATACTAGATGAGTAGCTACTTTCAATTGGAGGGAAAACTGTATTGCAAGCCGCATTTTGATCAAAAGTTTAAGGAGATGGGAGGCATATCCAGAGTACCATGTAAGCTTCCTTCCTTCTTCAACTCAAATGCATGCTTTTTTACTACCTACAATATATTATCAATTATTATTATTATTACATCATATGATTTATTGATATCAAGTTTCTGGATCTGACCTAAATTTTATGATCATAGCAGCAAACAAAGCAAGTGAAATGGTACGTACAATCAGTTAATTTACCATGTCTGTCTTTCTTTCTTTATATATATATATATATATATATATATATATATATATATATATATTGTGTTTATAATTAAACAAACAGGGAAAGAGCCCAAGCAAAATGTCAACGATGTTCAGTGGGACCCAAGATAAATGTGCAGTTTGTCATAAAACTGTTTATCCACTAGAAAAGGTTTGTGATTTGTATTTGATCCCATAAGTTTGAAAGTATGATGTATAAATTATAATGGGTCCCTAAGTATTATATAGTTTTACGATCGATTGAGATAATATATAATAATTATTTATATTTTATATAGGTAACCGTGGAGGGAGAATTTTATCATAAGCAGTGCTTCAAATGTGTACAAGGAGGGTGCAAACTGACACCGTCAAATTACGCAGCTTTAGATGGGAATTTATTTTGCAGGGCCCACTTTTCTCAGCTATTTAAAGAGAAAGGTAATTATGCTCACCTCTCCAACACAGCCTCCATGAAGAAGAACTCCGAAGCTGCTGGAAAAACAGTCGACTCTGCGGGAGGAGAGGCAGAACCAGAAACATCTGAATAAACTAACATCGCAATTTGCATGCAAGAAAATCAAGGGAAAGAATTTTGTTGTTTACATTAATTAGTTAATTAACTTTTAATCTCAGTTTTGATTTTTAATTAATTTGATGGCAACACTTTTTTTGTTTATTTGAAAATAGAGAATATATAATAGTGTTTAGGAATAAAAGGATTATCATATTCGTATCAAAGAGTTCTATTTCGATACGTACCGACTTTGTTGTCATATGTATTTATTGTTTAATTATTTTGGAGATTTAATTAAATGATCATTTTCTAATTCATATACTAAGGTTGTAGCCTTGTATGGCATACAAGGACCGATCATATTTGGGGGAGTGATGTTGTAACGTCCATAAATTTTACGCTAAATTCAAACTTTTTCAACCATAAATAAAAGTCAAATAGTATTGTTTACAAAATGTTTTCAAATCAATATCCATCAGAGTGTCCCAAAATCATATCGTAAGGATGAGGAGCGGTACGGTCACGCCTTCGCCTTGCCACGATCTCCTGAAGTACCTGAAACAATAAACTGAAACTGTAAGCCCGAGGGCTTAGTGAGCTACCCCCAAAATACCAATACCACACTGACAATACCATATCAGTAACAACCAATCAATCAATCATGCATACTGGGCCATCGGCCTGACTGGTCCGCCCTACCGGGCCTACAGTCTGAATCTATTCATGCATACTGGGCCATCGGCCTAACTGGACCGCCCTACTGGGCCTACAGTCTATCTGAATCTATCCCGAGCCTTCGGCATGACTGGTCCGCCTCGTGGCCTGCAGTCTCCCCGGACCGCTCATAGGGTATGTTGGCCTTCAGCACAAAGCAGCACCGCCTCAACCCAACCAATAAGCAAATAACCAAGTTCACATAACTATCATATACTGGCATATACAACATCAAACATATCTATCATACTGATCATCAACCATAGAATCCTCTCGTAACGAGAGTACCGACCTAGCAGGTCACTAACATACCAATCCTTACGGATCATAAAGCATAACATACTGTCTACTCTGATTCCGATCTAGCAGACCAAACCATATGTATCATACCATAACAATAACAACAAAAGGGCCGGCCTTGGTGCCGTAGACCCTATCAATATAGTGAGGATGACTCACCTCGCAGATACCGACTCGAAAGGTAAACTCCAATTCTCGGATCACTTGTCACAGGCTCCACCACCTATGACCATAGTACAATATACTCATAAGTCCTTAACTCTATAAGGTACTCCATAACCCACCAGTCAACCCCTGGTCAAAGTCAAAGTCCTCAGTCAAGGTCAACAGTCCATGTTGACCCCCAACTCGCCGAGTACCCTTGGCTACTCGTCGAGTTCCTCGAAGCACATTCCACTCGCCGAGTCATCGGGGTGACTCGTCGAGTTCCTTCGATTCCCGATCAAACTCTAAGCCACCCGTCGAGTTCCCTCCTTGCCACTCGACGGGTACACACATACATATCCTAGGGAAAACTCACCCGACTCGCCGAGTTGTTCTTCAACTCGTCGAGTCTTATGGTGATCTTCATCGGACTCGCCGAGTTGTTCATCCAACTCGTCAAGTTCACGACCATCTTCATGTGACTCGCCGAGTCCATTCAGTCCTTTTTCCATACAGACTTGTTTTGAGCCATGCATCGGCTCCAAATCACAGATCCAAGCTTCTAGGGCATGCTTTTCACGTAAAGTTGCAAACTTTACGTGCATGCATGACTAATAAGGCTCTTAATGCCAAAACTAAGTTCTTAATGGGGCTTTATGCACAAGGAGGGCCTCATTCTCGATCAAAATCAGAGCTTTATGACTCTAGAACCCAAGAAGGTTACAGATCTGAAGTTACAACTTCAGATCTAGCTCATATCCCACATTACCATCTCAACCAAACCATAAAAACCCTAGATCTCAACCAAAAGAGGTCTAGAAAGAAAAAGGAGAAAATGTGACGACTTGATACCTCCAAATGATGCTATTTGAGGTAGATTTCTGATCTCCCACACTTCCTTGCTCCTAGCCTTTTGTTTCCCCAAGCTTCTCTCCTCAAAAGATCTCATCTCCAAAGCTTTACACACACAAGAATGAACACCACACGAATTAGGGTTTTTCTGAGCTCTCAAGGACTGCAAAGAGGCCAAAGGAGGCTTATGCTTCCTTAAATAGGGTGCAAAACCCCGGGATTTAGGGTTTCATCTGCCAGCTCCTACTCGCCGAGTCCCAATATGGACTCGTCGAGTAGGTCACTTAACACGCGATCCCACCCCGCTGCTACTCGACGAGTAGGTCAACCGACTCGTCGAGTAGAGCTTCATCCAATAACTCTTATTTAAATGATATCTGAGAATCGGGGCGTTACAGATGTGGCCACCTCGGTGGTCACGGGTAGTTGAGTAGCTTGGGCACACCGTGCCCGGGTGTGACTCAGGGTCCGGACAAGACAAAGACGGTGGATGGGCACGTCCATTTCCCTCTTTTATGTTTTCTTTCTCTGAGGGTGTGGGGGTGCTTGGACACACCACCCTCAAGTAGTCAAGTGTATGGATCATGTAAGTTGGTGGGATGGAGTTTGGTGATAAAGAGGTATGAGTCTTGTATGTCTCCTAGCCTAAATAGACAAAACATCTTCTTTCAACCTCTCTCCACTTTCGTCTTCTTTTAAATTAAAAATGATATATTTTTTTTCAGTTATTAATATCCGCTTTTTGTTTGGCACGAACTTTATTTTTAATATTTGTATCAATATCGATAAACTCAATGAAACTTGATTTTGTATCAATATTGATAATCTCATTGATACTAAATAAGAAGAGTATTGTTAAACAAACACCCTATAAACATTGTTTATAAATACCTATTGTCAAAAAGCGTTGAATAAATGCATTTTTAACAGTTTCGAAAAAGTTTTCATAATCATAAGTACCATTTCCTTAAATTAAGTCTACCAATTAATTAGAATTAGAGTAAACTATTTGTAATTTTGGACTTTTGGTCCAAACTTTCTTTTAATTATGTTTTTTTTTTAAGTTTCTGTAATATTTTTATTTCTTTTCTAATAAAATGACAAAAAAATTACGACATCTTATTATTTGTGTTTATTTTTATTTAATTTTTTGACGTTTTATTCAAATAAGGTATTGACGTTTTTTAACATTTTACTTACCTTTATGACTTTAGATTTATTTTTATATATATTTCATACTAATACATTATTTATTTATTTTAAGATATTTTGTTCATTTTCCAGACATACAAACAAGAACAACTTTTACAAAATCTAGATATCTATCTTAGATGTTCCAGATGCAAAAAGTATTATTTTCCGGTATATCCGTATATATGTATAATCTTTTTTATTTTCGAAAACACTAAAAATTATTTTATTTTTAAAAAGCTTGATGAAAATGTTCTACAGGTAAGAATATATACCTTTTTTGTTTTAATGGTTTTTTCCCTTTTTTTATCTATATAATTAAAAATTTAGAACTATAATGTATATTTCTTAAAATACTTTAGAACTAAAAATATCTTTCTATCTCTCACACACACACAGACACAGAGACAAGAGACGCAGTACTCTACAGGTGTTCATCTGCTCTGGATGTGGTTCTATTTTTTTGAAAATGGTCACCCTCTTTCTGACCACTGCTATGATCAGCAGTGCTTCCAAGTTTACTATTCCTTGTTATATAAACCCAAACTACTCTAGAAATCTTCCCTTCCCTCTTAAACAGCAAAAGAATTTTGTAGTTTTTGCTGCTAAAGATGAAAATAAACTTGGCAATTGGGACCAAATTGAGCTTAAGCTTGGTAAATTAATCGGTGAAAACCCCGAGCTTGCCCTTTCCAAGGTCTGATTCTCTCTCTCTCTCTCTCTCTCTCTCTCTCTCTCTCTCTTCGTAACTATCTAATGTTTGTGTGTGTATGATTTTCTAAATGTGGGTGGTGTTTGAACTTTGAACTGCTACCACTAATTCTTGTCTTCTAGAAATGTATGATTATCACAACATGTTGCAAAAAAAGAGCCTTTTAAAACTATTAATTGAAGCTTGTATGTATAAGTCGAATTTGAAGGTTGATTTGATTTTGGTGTGTTGAATTGGTACGAACGATTCTTGAATGTGTTGATATTTTTCACTTTTAACTTGATTTGATTTGATTTTGTTATAATTTTCTGCATTTATGTGGCTTGCTTAGATAAAAGACAGAAAATTGAACCCAGAACACGACAAAGGAAAGAGACCTAAAGAAGCAGTTGCTAAGGATCCAAATACTTGTAGGCATCCAAATGTTATTTTATGGAAGGCAAATACTTTCGAAGAGGATGGTCTTGGGACAAACATGCCTTCCAATTTGTCTTTCAAACCAAATTTATCTCTGAAAATGGGTAAAGAAGATGACAAGGAACGGTTTAGTGATATGATATTGGTGAGGAATCCTGAACCTCTAATGAAAAATAACGAGGTCAACTCTACAAATGATATTATAAAGGAGAGTACATACCAGACCGAAAAAGATGTTTCAATCCAACAAAAGTGTGAGAGCAACCTGGATCAAGCTTTTGGAGATTTCAATCAATCAAGATCTGATATTGATGACACAGACAATAGTTCAAGAAATCATGGAATAACTTTTCATACAAGGCATGTGGCAGTAGCAATCGATCTTGACCCCTCACAGGAAATTAGTGGAAATGTAGCAGACGCTACCTTGCAAAGACCACCTAAAAGGTACTTCAAGCTGTTTTATAATACATGTGGTCTTCTCTTCTACTGAAGTTTAAGTTAAAGATTCCCTAATCACCCATATCAATTTGCACACATCTATTCTTCTTCAATATATTATCTTACTTTTACTTTGTTATAGATTAGATCAATCTGTGAAAGAGATGTCCAACATTGGGGGAAAGATTACTAGGATTAAGAATCGGATACCAAATGCTGGAACAAGTGAAAACTTACCTTCAATACCATTCTCAAAGGTATATTATTATGACTATTAATTTACTAATTGTTGTGGATTTTAATGAAACCTGAATCCCAAGTGTCACAATCATAGGAGTGTGAAGATATGGACTGGAAAAGGGCTGAGGATATGATAAAGACTACAGGAAGAGGAGTAGTGGAACTGATAAACTGTAGTACCAGAGGATTCATTGTAAGTGTTCATGTGTTTTTCTTTCTTTTTTATGTGTGGATTCATTATACCAAGAGCTACCTTCCTCTTTACCAAAGTGTTGTTTGTGAATTGTGATCTTGGATTTTTACCTTTTCTTTGTGTCATGATTTTGCCCATGTTTACAGGTTTCTTTTGGGTCTTTGATAGGGTTTTTGCCATATCGAAATCTTGCCACTAAGTGGAAGTTTTTAGCTTTTGAGTCTTGGTTGAGGAGAAAAGGCTTGGATCCTTCAACATACAGGAAGAGTTTGGGCATTATTGGAAGCTATGATGATACAAGCAAGACAGAAACTCCTGATCAAACCATAGATTCTGAAAAGATTGAGGGCGAAATATCACCAGATATGAAACTTGAAGATCTTCTAACAATTTATGACCAAGAAAAGCTCGAATACTTGTCAACCTTTGTTGGTCAGGTATGAATATTTTCTTTTAGATTTTTCAGAAATTGCAGCATTTCCTTTGAAGATAGTAATGATCATCACAATATTTTTGCAGAAAATCAAAGTGAATGTGATCTTGGCCGACAGAGAATCAAGGAAGCTAATATTTTCTGTGAAGCCAAAAGAGAAGGAAGAGTCAATCCAGAGAAAGAGAAACCTCATGGTCAAATTTTTAGACAAATCTTTTTCTAATTTGGTTAAATTGAAGAATAAGTGACATACTTCCATTGATTTGTTTACTATAACATCATACTTTCAATTCTTCCCATTACAACATTGTACTTGGAATATAGCAGTGTCATTCAAATACAAAATAGTTATCACTGCTATAATTGGGTAGATTTTTCAAAGTATAATGTCATAATAAGGAAAAAAAAATTGAAAGCAGAAGGATATAATTGGTAAGAGTTTCAAAATAGAATGCATTGGTAAGAAGAAAAAATTGTAAGTACAATGCTGTAATAGAAAGAAATGAAAGTATGATGCTATAATACACAGATAAATGAAGGCAAGTTGCTATTTGCATTTAGCCCATTTCCTATTTTTTTCTTAATTTTCAAGCTCTTATATTTTGGTTGCGCAGGCTAAGCTTAATGTTGGAGATATAGTGACATGTTGCATCAAAAAGATTTCTTATTTTGGTATATTTGTTGAGGCAAGTAACGATTTTTTCTTTTTCAGGGAACTCATCACATGATGTTTCTTTGTGTTTTGAATCGTGATTTTATATTATTATATTTATAGGTTGAAGGAGTAGCTGCGATGATACACCAAACAGAAGTGTCATGGGATGCCACTTTAAACCCATCTTTCAAAATCGGGCAGGTACTTGAAACCCACTTAATGTAAAATTAAAATCTTTCCAAAAATGGAAAATTTTGTTGGTATCAAATAACACAAAGTAAGGATAGCTTTTGGTTTACAGGTTTTAAAAGCAAAAGTTCATCAGTTAGATCTTTTGCTTGAACGTATATACTTATCTTTGAAGGAAATAACGGTAAACTATCTTGAATAATTTCAATTTTTTATGATAATATTTCTTTTTTTCTCAAAAAAGCATAAAATCTGTTGTGATGCTTATCTTGTGGCAGCCAGATCCATTGACCAAGTCTTTGGAGGCTATTCTTGATCATCATGCTCATGCTTATGCTCATGCTACCTTGGATTGTAAATTAGAAGCACACCAACCTCAACCTGAAGATGAGGTTTTTAATTTTTAAACCCGTTTCACTATTTATTCTTTCTTACCAGAAATGCAGGAATTAGCAACATACTTTCATTTATTTTTGGATGCTACAATAAACAAATCAATTGCTATTTCTTGCACTTAATCCTATTCAAGCTTACTCTTGTGTTCTGTATGTAGATCGAATACTGGGATGATCTTGAATTTCTTATCAAACAACTGCAGCAATACCAGGGTATTGAGTTAGTAACAAAAGGCCGTTTTTTCTTGAGCCCTGGTTTGACCCCAACATTTCAGGTATTTTTTTTTGGTTTGTTTCAAAAGAAACTCTCTGCAAGTGTTCTTGATTTGTTTTAGGTATCGGGTATTGAATAAAGTTAAATCTTTTATGAATTCTTGGCAGGTTTATATGGCATCCATGTTCAAGGATCAGTACAAATTGCTTGCTCGAGCTGGAGACAAAGTACAAGAGGTACATTTTGACTTTTGAATGCCAAACTTGCTGCTTGAATATAAACTCATAAATATACTTTTATTACCAATTGCAACATATATTTTTTTATCTCAGATTTGTTTTAAATAAAATATCCGTGTATACATATTTTGGGCAGGTGGTGGTTCAGACATGGCTAGGTACAGAGGAGATGAAGCATGCGATTTTAATGTGCACCAAAAGAGTCGAGTAAATGCTTGTTTCATTGTCAATTCGTTGTTGTATTATAGTTGATTGGATCATGGTTGGGTAACCATGGTCGATTGGTCTCACTCACCCCCAGGTTCCAGCCATGAATAGAATTCTTCAACAGTGTATAAAGAAAAGGCAATTTTTGTGACCTCAAGTGGTGTTTTGGCAAGTTTTGTCAAGGGTGGGTTGATTTTGGAATAGTATAGTTTGATATTGGTTTAATAAGTTTTGAAATAGATGAGTTTGGTATAATTTGTTTAAACAATTATGAATGGATTGGGTTGGTTTGGTTTGCTTTTTTGTATATGAATGTTACTGTCTAAGGGTAATACATAGTGCATTCAACCGTATAAAGTTATTAGATTGTCACAATAACATTTTATTTTTCATACAACTTTCCAATTTAATATCTACAATGTGGGCCTTCCTGTTTTCATTTTAAAAAGTTCAATGGATATTGAATTTCAAATTCATTATATGTCAACTTTAACATCCTTATGTTTGGGTTTAATCCACTATATGTCAACCGGGCATTCCATCTTATTCATCCATTATATATGCTCTAAAGATCAAGGAATGTTCATATTTTTGGTAAAAGACGGCTTAATCTCTAGTTCAAAGAAAAAGTAAAATCCAAAAAAAAAAAAAAAAAAAAAAGGTGTTGGATAGGCGTTTTATGTAACATTTTTGTAACTATGTTTTAGTATCGGTTTAATCTCTTTTCTATCTGTTACGCAAAAACTTGCCATATTTAGTAAGAGGTGGTGGTTTGATTTTGTATCAGGTGTTGTTATCCTGCATGTTTGTGATCATGTGCTATAATTGTGATTCCTGCATGTTTCCCCATATTCTATTGCTTCTCTTTTATCACTTTTGATTTGCAATTTTCGCATATTCATGTTGTATTGTATTGTGTTTCAGGGGTGGAGTAGCACAATATATTCTCAATGATCGATAACAAATCCTTGTCCATGATTTATTTTTGGGGGATTGAATCTGTGATATTTTGCTTAATTTTTTTATCTTTTTAATGTCAGTCCATGATTTATTTCTTGTTTGCAAAGACGAAATGCTGCCAGGATGCATTCCAAATCTTGAAAGATTATCATCATCTTTGCAGCAACTCAAGAACCATTCTTCAAATCAATGTCGGAAAAGAAAAAGACAAGCTCATGTCCCTTTAACAAGGGACAATGATTATTCTATTTCGACACACATCCAAACATGAATTTGACCAACAAACTTGTCTTGAAACAAATTGTACAACACTTTCAACATTCATCACTCCCCCCTGATTTTAATGCTTTTTTTTATCTGGTTTCATGGGCCTCCTTATTTTTGCCAGAATATCAACCCATCTTAATAACACAAATCAACAACACAATCTTATATCTGTCTGAAGTTTTAGGGTTTATGGTTTTCAGTTGAATATAATTTATCAACCATGCAAATGCAATGATTCCCACAGAACGCCAAGATCCACATTACCTCCCGAAAGCACAATCCCAATGTTATGAGAATCCTTGAAAGCAGGATTTTGCTTGAAACTATCTGAGAGAACAGCAGCAAGGCCTATAGCACCACTGGGCTCGATTGCAACCTTAAGTATCTCATAACATAATTTCATAGCATCCACAATCTCTTTATCTTCAACAGTTATAATGTCATCAACAAGATCCCGTACAATGGGCCTGTGTAAACATAAACATAAACATAAACAAAAACAAAAACCAAACCTTGGTTTAATTTTGATCTTAACTACATATGTACAAAACTGATTATTTTGTATGTATTATTACCAAGTGAGAGATCCAAGTGAAGCTCGAAGCCCATCAGCAATGGTGTTGGTCTGAGCCAAGGTGATGATCTGACCAGATGCTTTTGATTGTGCAGCATCATCGGCTCCTTTAGGCTCAGCAGCTATAACCCGTATACCCGGATTCATGGACTTGGCTCCAATTGTGATCCCAGATATCAAACCACCACCTACACAAACAACATTTCTAACCAACATCAACAACCAAATTCAACCCCAAAATATTCAAACAAGTTGAGTATACAGACCGCTTATTGGAACTATTAGGGTGTCGAGTTGTGGGACCTGTTCAAGAAACTCAAGTGACAATGTACCCTGGCCACTGAAAGAGAAGGAGGATATCATCATTCATCATTTAATTATAAGAAAAGATATTTAAATATAAGAAAAATGAAGTTACCTTATGGTACGAGGGTCGTTATATGGATGAACAAGAACAGCACCTGTCTCATTTAAGACTTTGTTTGCAGTTTCCTCTCTGGATTGCATAGTAGGCTCACACCATATAATCTGCCCTCCATAACGTCTCACATTTTCAACTTTGCATTTCGGAGCATTTTTTGGTATAACAATATATGCAGGAATTCCTCTCATTTTTGCAGCCAAAGCCAGTGCTGCAGCATGATTACCACTAATTTCCAGGAATCATGGTTACTTAGTTTGAACTAGTAAAAACTCAATTTTGAATTTCATTCATTCAAAAACTCAATACTATTTACCTGCTGTGAGTTGCAACTCCTTTCGCAGCTTGTTCGTCTTCAAGAGAAAACACAGTGTTCGATGCACCTCTGAATTTAAATGCTCCACTGATAATCATCAAACTTGAAATAAGCATGCTAGGTTCCATGGTAATTTCCATAACAAGATAAAGACACATTTATTACCCCTTCTGAAAGCATTCACACTTGAAAAATAAATTTTTTCCAGCAATGGAATTAAGGGTTTCAGAAGATAGGACAGGAGTTTTGTGAACATATGGCTTGATGCGTGCATGTGCTTTGGTTATGGAGTCCATATCAGCAGCATATTTCTTCTCCTCTTTCAGACTTTTATCTTCCATTTTTTTTTAGAAAACCAAGAGCCGGTTGTTTGTTTTGCAATTGGATCAAATCAAACTTTTCAAGTTACTGCAATGAAAAAGATTATTATGTGGAAAACAAACATGGTTGGTTGATTGCTAAATATCCCAATTCTAGCCAACAAACTGTCATCTAAAATACCATCTTCTTCCAAATTTGGATCACATCTCCATATCCAGCATTAATACACGAATATGATTACTTCACAGCTGGGTATTATAATTAATAAAATAAAGATACAAATTCAATTGCATATTGTTCAAAGGTTATTTCCCAACCAAAACATTGCTAACCCCATAAAGAATTCCAGATTTGACTCTTTAAATATCATTTCCAAGGACTCATAGCAACATTAACCTAGAAACGACGCATTTCTGTGATCAACAAAATAAAATATAAGCCAAAACTGAATTTAGATGGTAGTTGGTTAGACTTTGTAAAATCGTAAGGGACTTCTATTGGGAGTAAGAAAGAGATATAAAACACGACATATGGAGGATATCCCTTTCAAACAATAAAACCCAAAACGCAGAAAATTGAGGTTCTTGAAATTAAAACTACGAATTAATCAATTTAGAAGTCATCAACAAAATAAAAAACAGAAACATCCCAAGCTTTTGATTGGTTTTTGAAGAAACATACCTGTAATATGCATAAAATCCAGTTATCGGACTCCCGCCGCCACAGAGTGCTCTCTTCTTCTCTGTTACTCTAACACAAAGTCCGGGTCATGGATCAGGTTGCTCTTTATTATTATTATTATTATTATTATAATGTAATTCACATTTGAATTTTAGTTATCATCATACTGCTAATGAGAAGTCAAACAGGCAACAAGTTGCGCCGTTAAGCTCTTTTGTATGGTAAAACCAATTCTTTTGAAGACTACATCCATAGATCTAGGGATATAACATTGCTATGCATGATCCGTTGTAGTCTACTAAGAAGCTACACCGCATCCGACACAAGGAAACCAAACGTATCAAATGCAAATGGTATGAACGCGTGTTGATTTTCCATGCACGGTTTCTCATGTTTGGTGACCTTGCATGTAGCAGCTTTTAAAGCAGTTTGTCCCGCCGTGAAACCCCCGACCCTCAAACTTACGAGAGGGGATACCCCTGTAAGGTCCACACATGCGTGTTTCCCTCCAACCTATCCAAAAATCAAAACGTCAGCCGGTCTAAGGGTTGACCTTCCTTCTGTCGGGTCAGTCAGGAAATTCACAGGAGCCTCTTTCTTGGCAGAAACCCCGACACGCTTACATATGTCGACCAAAACATCCCTAACCATATCGTGCCTTTATTTGAACCCCGGGAGTTCTTTGCAATGAACTGCATGTTGGATTAGTGTCTAAGTCCATAACTATTTTGGTATGTACTTGACCCGATTATGAGCATGGTCCTTTTGGGTTGCCTTCACCATAGCAATATGTAGGATGAATTAAGGAGAATTATGATTTATTAATATATTATAAGAATAATATATTAAAGGAGAAATCATATTGTTTAATTAATATTAGTCGAGAATTAATTATGAATTAATTTTGTGACTAAAAGAGATTAATTAAACTTAAGGGACTGGAATTGTAATTATAAGATAATTGCAAGAGTGGGCTAATGGACTCCATAGAGTGGAGTGGACGATATTTATGGGGAAGCCCATAAGATTTCGTCCATGACTATAAAGAAAGGGATCCATGGGCTGCTTAGGGCCTAAGCAGTCAGATTAGGGTTTCCTAGTTGTAAACCCTAATAGCCTACACCTATATAAAGAGCCCTTTATGCCCAAAAACGTGGACAACTCTGAGATTAGGGTTTCTGGACGTTTTGGCTGCCTCCTCTCTCCTCCCTCTTCATCCAAGTTGCTTAGTGGTGTTTGTGACTCCATTAGAGGTGCAACACTTGAGGCACTAAGTTTTCTGAAGCAAATCAAAGCAAGGATTGATTGTTATTGCTATATAACAATCAAAGGTAATTACTAAACCCTTATTTCAGTTCTTATTTGATAGATCTAGGGTTTATAAGTCTTGGATTCAAAGCATGTACAATAGAGAAACCTAGATCCAAGCATTAGGGTTTGTATGAGCACATAGGATTGTTTCTTATGCATAAATTCCAACAGTAGTATCAGAGCCTTGATTGGTTTCAATTGTATGTGATGCTTAACTGTTTTGCTTGCTGAAAATCGAATTTTTTGCCTCTGCCCGACTCAACTCGGCGAGTCGGTATCTGGACTCGGCGAGTTGGCCCTACTCGGCGAGTTCAGAGCTGAATCGGCAAGTTTGTGCGTCAGGCAGAGGATATTTCGAGATTTTGTTGCTATTTTGGCTTGGATTTGATGCCTAAATCGTTTTTTGAAGTTAAAATCCGAATTTTATCTTAATTAAATGATTATCCTTGCCAAAACACAAGATAATTACCAATTGATTAGATAATAAATTCCTTATATGATTAAAATTGATTATTTTGTATTAATTGGGTAACTTATCTTACAAGAAATTGAATTAGGTCAAATATAGATAATCACTAAATTAATTGTTTGATTTATATTATTTGATCCCTAGTAAGTTTGAATAGTTTCAAATTACTCCCTTTAGGTTTTATAGTTTAAATTTGAACTTAAAAGTTTGTTTTTGAAATTTAAATAGTTAAACCCTAATGTTTTGAAAAATTTCAAAAACTTGCCCTCAAGTTTTGGAATTAAAATTTTTTGATTAAAAGTTTAATGTTGAAATATTTAAATTCTAAACCCTAATGTTTTGAAATGTTTCAAAACTTGCCCTCAAGTTTTGGAATTTAAAATTTTGATTAATAGTTTAATTATGTAATATTTAAATTCTAAAACTCAAGTATTTTGAAAAGTTCAAATTACATCCTCATGGTTTTGTTAAGTTAATTAAAAGTTTAATTAAAAGAGAAAGTTAATAAAACCACCTAGTATTTTAAAAGTGTAAAATACACCCTATACTATATATATGTAACATTAAAAGTCTAATATTATATATATGAGTAAAGAGTCAGTCTTACCGTTAGTAGGCCTCATTCACGAAGCTGGTCTATAAGGGGTGTTTAAGGAAATTGCCTATAAAATGGCGATTGAATGGGTATCCACTCTTACCCACCGCACTCTTGACTAGTGGAGGGTCGTTAGCTGAACGGGTAGGATAGGACGAAACCTTCCATTATAAGTATAATGAAGTACAAAGTAACTAAATGTTTTTATAAATTCCCAAATCATAGTTACTTTAGGAAAATATGTGGAATTGTATGCTAATCCATGGAATTACACTTTGTATTTTTGTCGAAACGTTAGTGGAGCGTGTGTGGTTAACCGGCACACTAATTTGGGTTTGGCATTGGTGGCGAAGGGTGATTCGATGTCTGTCATAGATCAATGGAGCGTGTGTGGTTAACCGGCACATTGATTAGGTGAGCATGACATTGAGTGCACCAAGTACATTCGCATGGTTATTCACACCTTATTTGTGATCCTCGGCATCCCAGTCACAAATAGAAGGGCATAATCGAGATAAAACATGCCATTGAAAAGTTCAATGAATCTCAAAAGATCTAGGAGTTTCAATTCATTTAAAACTTAAATTTCTTTTTCGTTTTTCATGGTGGAAATTGGTAAATCGTCATTTACCTACCTTCAAATATTCTGCAACTAGATTACGGCATCCCTCTTCTAGGTTGTAGAATGTTGTGTTGGATCCTAGCCTTGATGTTTCATTTGGGTGTTACATCAAGGATTCTTATCAACTAACTTGAATTTTCTCCCGTTTTGTAGATGTCTAAATCTTACAATGGTCTTCCCAAGTCCCTTGGAACAAGCTTTCCAAATGAAGATGGCGTTCCTCGATACGATCAAGGAAATGAGAGTCATGCTTCACTTCCTCCACCTCCTCCAATTATTCTCCCTAACCCACAAGTTCAAAGGCTTGAAAAGTTCAAGCTCACTCAAGACCTTTTGGCAAGTAAACACGAAGATAGGAAACCTGTGTGTGCACACGTCTTAGAGATGAAGTCACACATTGATAGGTTAAGAATGATGGGTGTCGATATCTCAGAAATGTTGGCTGTTGACTGGGTTCTTCAGTCACTTCCTGAATCATATAGTAAGTTCGTTAGAGAGTACTATATGATGGACCATGACGTGACCCTCATTGATTTGACCTATTTGCTTATAGCTGCTGAATCAGAAATGATTTGGCGTGCTAATCGAGCAAATTTGTCTGGCAAATCAAACTCCCAAACTTCAATGGACATTGATAATGGTGACGTTGGAAATCCAGAAAAGGTAAATTCTGAGATAGTTCCTTGTGCCATTCCAAAAGAGTCAATCTGCTTCTATTGCCAAGAAAAGGGGCATTGGAGATGAATCTTCCCTGTTTACCTGAGAGATCTAAGAGATGGGAGAGTCAAGACGTATGGCTCTACTTCAGGTAAAATCCAATAACTAACTCTATAAGTTCCTATTCTTTGATTTTCAATACATGATGTGATAAGATTACATTTTGATGTTTTGTAGGATCGAAGAAAAGAGAGGAAGCTTAAGGGAAGAAGTAAGCTGAATCTGATCGTGAAGAAATGGATTTCGATCGCATTGCTTGAAGATCGGATTTTTGAGCTACTACTTTAGAGTTAGAATAGATTGCTTAGAAATTGAAATAGCATAGTTTTCATTTGAATTGCATTGTAAGGACAAGTTTTTCCGCAATAAAATGAATTTTGATTTCGTCCTATTTATTTATCCTTGCAATGGCATATGTGAAAATGGATGTTTATGTATTTCTAATTTTAGCAATGTTGAATTGGATGTGATTCTTGATTATGTTATTTGTGAAATGTCGAGGATTTTCCAAATAAAGGAAGATTCTCATCGCCCAAGTTTCAGTTGGACAGAAACTTGGAATCATGGAACTTGGTTGCGTGATGAATGAGAAACTTCATATTTGGAAATTAGACTAATTCTTTGACAAAGTGTCAAGAGAAGGACTAGGAGATCGAGTACACTAGGTTGTGCGTTGATCAAGTCCACCACAAGAGTGATAAAGATATTCGTCATGATTTACTAAAGTTTAGTAAATATGGTTATACTTATAAGATTAAGTATAATTCTGAGTTGATTGAAAGAGTTTCAATCAATAGCAGAACGAATAAAAAGAATCGAGTAGGCAGAAAGATAAAAGTTTCTCCATTCCAAGAAGAAGGGAGAGTACCTTTTATTGTGTTTTATGATAAGTCTTAATGATTAAGAACCATATCTCAATAGATCCTCTAAGTGAGTCTTAGTGCAATTGCATGTCTAAGAAGAGGAATCGAGAATTGTAGAAATGGTTAAATCAAGAAGTCAATCATACTTCGTTCCAATATCAAGTCTTAGAGTCAAGATTCTGACATGAGTGACAAGTCTTAAGTAGGTTTATAACACTCGACAAATGTGGAATTTGGAAAAGTTTTCTTATTCTTGCACATTTGAAATTGGTAAGTTGTGATGTCTTGGATAAGACAAAGACCAACCAGGACCAATTGTGTGAAGTGTTGAACTTGACAAAAGGCTACACTAACTCTTGAATATTTGTTTGTCAAGAAATGTTTCTTGACAAGAGAATCTTATATGTCAAGGAGTCAGTGGGAGTCTTAATGGTCTTGAAAAGTTTCAAGAACAAATCAAGAGTAAACCTAGTTGATCATCACTAGCACACGACTTGAGGTCTAAAGCCTATCGTGGATGACATAC